ACTAAATGGAAGGTAGCTAGTCAACAGTTACCACTAGACTAAATGGAAGGTAGCTAGTCAACAGTTACCACTAGACTAAATGGAAGGTAGCTAGTCAACAGTTACCACTAGACTAAATGGAAGGTAGCTAGTCCACAATTACCCCCTAGACTAAATTGAAGGAAGCTAGTCAACTGTTAACCCGTGATAGTTTTATGGTAATATGTAACCATACTTTCTAACCTGAAGAGGATCCGTGATAGTTTTATGGTAATATGTAGCCATACTTTCTAATCTGAAGAGGATCCGTGATAGTTTTATGGTAATATGTAACCATACTACCTACTCTGAAGAGGATCCGTGATAGTTTTATGGTAATATGTAACCATACTTCCTACTCTGAAGAAGATCCGTGATAGTTTTATGGTAATATGTAACCATACTTTCTAATCTGAAGAGGATCCGTGATAGTTTTATGGTAATATGTAACCATACTTCCTAATCTGAAGAGGATCCGTGATAGTTTTATGGTAATATGTAACCATACTTTCTAACCTGAAGAGGATCCGTGATAGTTTTATGGTAATATGTAACCATACTTCCTACTCTGAAGAGGATCCGTGATAGTTTTATGGTAATATGTAACCATACTTCCTACTCTGAAGAGGATCCGTGATAGTTTTATGGTAATATGTAACCATACTTCCTACTCTGAAGAGAATGAATGATTAGTCAGTTTCGGTGTTTTAAACTAAAGTCAGATAAAATAAAAATTAAGTAACTTCAAGGTTTACAATAATTTATGTTCCAATAACGATATGCAAAGGTTTAACGACGTTATGTCGCTAAAGGAAATTAGCTTTCGTATAGCATTTTATCTTTTTCAATATGTCAGTTCTCCATCTAAGCATGGCGGCATTATAGACATCATTATATAATATATTTTTTTTTTTTAAGAATTAACCAGAAACATAAGTCAGAACGAATCTAATAGAATAATGTAAATGATAAACAAGTATTATGCTCTCGCTGAAACACTTGAAGATTGGTGTACAAAGTTTATTCTGCGAAGCAAGCGTGACTAATTACAGTATTCTGTAAAACCGACGTTGCTTCCCGTTAAATTTAATAAGTGCCTCCTGAACTCCCCCCCCCCCCCCAAGTCCTTCGTAGCCTGGCAAAACCAATTTTCTAAGAAGAGTTAATAATCAACACGACTTCAAATGTTTCCCTGACGGCTGCTGCCTTGGAATGAGCAGGCACGGTGTATCACTAGCAAAAAAAAAAAATCGAATGTCATGTTATTCTACGATTCTCACAACCACTGGGGCTCGAGTTTTATATGATACGTACTATTATTATGATGATAGAGAGAAAAGGCGAGGTCGCGCTGGAAAGAAACAGCCACGATTTGGATTCAGTTTAGTTTATAAAAAAAATATATATACAAAGGTTGAAAAAGTCAAAAACAGGAATGAACAAATCAGTGAGACGAATTCTAACAATTTAAATATTAGAACACAATGATATCATTTCTCTCGCGAATATTAGAACACAGCGATATCCTCTATCTGACAGCTTCAAACATCAGACTCGCATGAAACCGTCTGTTTTATAGTAAACATTAAACTCACATGAAACAATCTGTTTTATAGTAAACATCAGACTCGCATGAAACAATCTGTTTTATAGTAAACATTAAACTCACATGAAACAATCTGTTTTATAGTAAACATCAGACTCGCATGAAACAATCTGTTTTATAGTAAATATTAAACTCACATGAAACCGTCTGTTTTATAGTAAACATTAAACTCACATGAAACCGTCTGTTTTATAGTAAACATTAAACTCACATGAAACCGTCTGTTTTATAGTAAACATCAGACTCACATGAAACAATCTGTTTTATAGTAAACATTAAACTCACATGAAACCGTCTGTTTTATAGTAAACATCAGACTCACATGAAACCGTCTGTTTTATAGTAAACATTAAACTCACATGAAACCGTCTGTTTTATAGTAAACATTAAACTCACATGAAACAATCTGTTTTATAGTACTATAAAACAGACGGTTTCATGTGAGTTTAATTTTTAAACATCAGACTCACATGAAACCGTCTGTTTTATAGCAAGCATCAGGCTGGCATGAAACAACCTGTTTTATATTAAACATCAGATTCACATGAAACCATCTGTTGTATAGTAAACATCAGATTCACATGAAACAACCTGTTTTACGGTAAACATCTGTTTCACATGAAACCCTATGGTCGTTTAGCCCACGTGCAGGTTCAGATTTAAAACTCCGCACATTACTTTCTTGGGGACAACGTAGTTTTCTTTGAGTGGGGGACGTCTTGGAGAAACTAAAATTTTTATCTTGAATTATCTCGACTAGATAATTATCTGATTTGTCCTTCGTAAACTTTAAGTCAAATTTTATTCTGACTTGCCCTCCAGTGGCCAGCGGTATGTCTGCGACTTACAACGCTAGAATCCGGGTTTCGATACCCGTGGTGGGCAGAGCACAGATAGCCCATTGTGTAGCTTTGTGCTTAATTACAAACAAACATTCTATTCTGATTTGTAAAGATGCGATCAAAACAGGAAGTGTCCAAAAACAAGAGCGAGAAATGATGCAAGATGCCACAGTTATTGAAACTTTTTTTACTGTTTTCACTTACTAAAACATCACACAAACAGATGTGCCCTCCAGTGACACAGCGGCTATGTCTGCGGACTTACAACGCTAGAAACCGGGTTTCGACACCCGTGGTGGGCAGAGCACAGATAGCCCTTGTGTAGCTTTGTGCATAATTAAAAACAAACAAACAGATGCAGACTTACTATGCGGATGCTCCTCAATCTTCTTCTGGTTATCCTCGGGTCGTTTCACCAGTACATCTGGTCTCTGAGATAAAACAGTAGTCCCTTTCTCTGGCACCTGAGTGACTGACTCTTCCGCCTCTTTGAGTACCAAGAAATGTTAAAGAAATAGTAAGTCAACAATCCTTGTTATATTTTATTCAAATATCGTGCTTTGTAAATAATCGTGTATTTTGTTTCAATTTTATCCAACATTTGTCGTGGGAACAGTTCTATACAACATTAAAACACCCACCTCACTCCGCACCCTTTTAAACCAAACATGTTCTTCTTCTATCTACGAGTTTATTTTACACTCAAATTTATCTTTTCCACCGAAGGGAAAATGTTTTAGGTCAACCATAAAGAAAATCTAAGGTCTATGCTTTTCTTTAGAGAAAATACATGATGGAAAAATAGACCATGGAAAATACATGATGGAAAAATAGACCATGGAAAATACATGATGGAAAAATAGACCATGGAAAATACATGATGGAAAAATAGACCATGGAAAATACATGATGGAAAAATAGACCATGGAAAATACATGATGGAAAAATAGACCATGGAAAATACATTATGGGCAATTACTCAAAAGCTTCCAAAATCGTTTTAGCGGAAATGAAAACAAGAAGTTTCAGAAAACTAATAAACCGGACCGAGTTTTGTATTCTTCAACTTTAGCACCACAACGTTGAAAACAGCGACAGACTAAAGGTTGCCCAATTATAGGTTTGATTTAAACCCTTCACGCTGCGTTGCGGGATTTAATCTTTTTTCTACAGCTCCTCTCGTCGAATAGGTAGACAACAGTGTTCCTCAGAAGGTAAAGAAATAATGACCTTTTAGAAATAGAATTCTTCTAGAGTAGTACAGCATGAACGAGCAGTGGAAGGTCAGTACCAGACAGTTGAGATACCTAATACTGTGTTATTAATCTAATATTAGGATGAGTAAGAGTAAAGATATCGGATGACAGTCGGCGAACGTACTGAATAACTGAGAGAAGCTACATGAAGCGAAGGTAGATTATTAGAC